ACACTGCCCACAACCCCCCCAAGCACCGCCGCCGCTCCCCACACTGCCCAAAGGCCCCCCCCACCTAGCACAACCCCCTACGCAAACACGTGAAACGCGTTCACGCGCGTTAGGTGAACGTGCGTTTACCGCGTTCATACCCTGAACACGAAACGCGCGTTCAATGAACGCGCGGTAACACAGGTGAAGTGGTCGACGACGACCAGGATAGCATCATGACCGCGGGGGGTCGGAGGACGAAGAGGACCGATAAAGTCCATCGAGATGGACTGCCAACGACCCTCAGGGATAGGAAGACGTTGGAGCAAACCATAAGGCAGGTGGTTCGCACTGTTCACCTCTTGACAGGTGGGACACTCTGCGACGTAGTCCTTCACAAAGTCCATGCGCTTCGGCCAGACGCACAGGCGGCTCACACGAGCCAATGTCTTGCGAAAGCCCATATGACTGGCGGCTGCCTGGTCATGGAACTCTGCTATTGCTCGGACACGTAGCTGTCCAGTGGAGGGAACGCAAATATGAGGCTCTCTGGTGCCCTGTGAACCGTGCCAGTACACAAGACCGTTGTCTCCGAGCAAGTACTTCGGACGGTCTTGCCGCTCCGAAGGGTCGCATGGATGTCGCGATAGTAGGGGCAGTGGCGGTGCTGAGTGCGAAACTCATTGATCACCAAATGGTGGATGGTGGTGACCGAGATGGAAGCGAGCTGGATGTGCTCCTGATCGTAGTCAGGGCGCCGGGATAAGGCATCTGCGACCCGATTAGTCTCACCCTTGATGTGCTCAGTGGTGAAACTAAACTCGGATAGGTCGCGCCACCAGCGAGGCTGTCGAGGAGTGAGCTTCGGTTTTGTCAGAAAAGCCTAAACAACAAAGTTGTCCGTGCGCACCGTGAATGGTGCCTAGTGCAGGTAGTGACGCCAATGTCAAGCGGCATAAACTACTGCGAGCACCTCACGTTCATAAGCGGTGTAGTTTATCTTGGCGGGCATGAGTTGACAGGCGTAGAAGGCTATCGGACAATCACCTAAGTGAGACTCGACAGTGCCGTCCTCGACGATGGTAGGGGAGTAGTCAATAGAAGGCTCGTCAATAGCGGAACGAGTAAGCGTCAGGCGGGAGGCAATGGTAGGGGTAGGGGGTGAGAAGCGAGGGATACGAGGATGAGAGGAATCCGGAGAGGAGGGAAAAATCTGATAAAGCACTGCTCCTACAACGAAGTCTGACGCATTGGTGGTAAGAATAAAAGGGCGATCAAAATCGGGTAGGTGAAGAACCGGTGCACATGTCACCGTCGTCTTGAGGGCGCGAAAGGCGTCCTCGTGGAGGGGTGTCCAAGCCCAGGGCGGGTTCTTCCAGAGGAGGGTGGAGGTAAGGATATAGGAATACCTAGCGTATCCCTGGATGAAATTACTATAGTAGCTGGTAAGGCCTAGGAAGCTGCGAAGCTGCTTGGCGGATGTGGGGACGGGCCACTCTGCAATAGCAGTGATCTTCACGTCGTCCATGTGGAGACCTTGGTCAAACACGTAGTGTCCTAAGAAATTCACTTTGTGCTAGGCAAAGCGGCACTTGCTCAGCTTGGCGTAAAAGCCATGTCTACGCAAGCGGTCAAGGACGTCGCGGAGGTGTCTGAGGTGCTCCTCAAGGGTACGGCTATAGACCAGGATATCGTCGAGGTAGACAAGAACGTACTGCTTCAGGATGTCCCTGAAGATGCCGTTCATCGCCCTCTCGAAGGTAGCGGGTGCGTTGGTGAGGCCGAATGGCATCACCGTAAACTCGTAGTGAC